TGAAAAGCAATAGTCTTTTCTTTCGCCTACTTTCCACGCATACAGTTGCACAGTGAGAGATAGTGACCACAAAGGATTACGCAGACTTTGGCAAATCACCTAATACAGGATGTCCCAAAAAAGCATCGAACGTTTAAATCCTTATAAGCCCCTTGTCTAAACAGCTTTCGTGGATCTTTACGTGCCATCGAGGTGGGCTTCAGCTTCTTAGAATTGCAGTAGCTCAAATGTTAGGGCAATTAAATACATGTACAAAATATTTACTAGAATCATCATAGAAACCTCTTCACAAAAGTTTTCAGACGTTTTAAAATTCTTCTGAAATGATAGCTGATCCGCAATGACATTGTACTGTAGTACCCTTCATAACGCAACGCTAATGGGAAGAGATTTGTGACTTATTTTGTGCTCCAACTCTAAGTTGATCAGACAAGAACACTATAGGCGGTTAAACGTTCTACACATCTATCTGGGACACACTGTGCCATACGTCTAGTTTGACACCTGATCTCTTCGAGTATTTTCTAGCCCATGCTGATCCAACTGTCATGCCAGTTGTAAGCCACACTTGTAGTGTATATACAGTGCAGCACATATCCTTTTCTCGAAGTCGGTACATCAGTCCCCTAAAATTGGCTAGATGCCCAGACTTGTGAATTAGGTGACAAGGTAGAGAAAAAAGGAAGCTCCTCGGACTGTTAGACGGTCACTCTTGAATAAACACTCTGACTTTGGGACACTTCTACATTGCCTGTGATCGTAGAAGCTTGTCTTGACAACTACAAGCACTGAACAATGATAAAACGAAAAATCGAGATTTATTTCTCTCATTTCCTCAGACAGCATCACTTCTTTCTGAATGTGTCTTTTGAATATTCTCTCACAGATAATCCCAGACGTTAATCAGTTTTAGTCGAGTCTACATTCCAAAATTTCAATGTTTGCAGAATCTCCCACTGCAGCACTCAAACGAAGGTTCCGCACAAATTTCACGGAAGCCCAGTCATTGTTGCTAGAGGAAGCGTTTCAAGAATCACATTACCCAGATCAAACGGCAAAGAAAGATATGGCGGAAAAATTGGATATTCCCGAGGACAGAATTACGGTATGGTTCGCACTAAGCCAAGCTATAGGTCGTTACGGAAGATCACAACTTTGAAAATATCATCAACGATGCTCTCACCCCATTAAATTCTTCTGGTTTGCAAGGCGTGTCAGTCTCTTGGATTAATTATTACCTTGGAAGGAGCGAGGTCCTGCAATGCGCATGGTACTGGATTTGTGATCTGGGCGTTCCATACTTCCTCTTGTGGCCAT